TATCGGTGCGGCAGAAACCAGTTGTAACCAATGTCTTAAGTACCAGGTATTCCTTAGTCCACGATGGCGGGAAGTATGGCTGAACGAGCATTCAGTGCCTAGACCTCTTGAGCACCACACCCCGCAGGCTTGCATCCCCATGTAGTGTCAAGTCTTGTTGGAAGGCCGTTCCAAACACTATTTGTTTTCTCTGATTATGAAGATGATCGTCAATCTTTTATCGACAGATGAAGCTTGGCTAGTTGAGTAAACATCACGTGGGACCCGAGCCAAGTCCTAGTCGTCAACAATGGTTCTGTTATTGTTGGAGTTTGAAAGATGGATGATGGATTCGAGTTCAAAATTAACGCAAATAAATGTAAAATTGCTCACAGAGTCAACGCTGGCTCGCTTGCTGAACAAGAAAAGAACACTATGCCTTCCCCTCTACTCCCGCTAAGAAAAAGAATCGTCCAGCCCAGGGGTATTTTCTCTACAGTATATCGTCCCCAGCCCAAACCCCCAAATTCAACGCCAGTGTTGATATCTACCATGCGCACTTTGCAATAAAGCCCGTAGGCCACTTCCGCACAGCGAACTTTCTCGCCTCGTCGATGAGGAGAATACCCAGACCAAAAGTCATCGGCAGGAACCAATACTCAACAGGGACCGGAGCCGTGTCAAGTGTCGTCTGGAACTCAGGGACATACAGCCAGAAGATGGCCATCAGTAGCGCAAAGATGATGGCGGGGAAGAGATAGAGGTTCTGCGTGCGCTTGTTGCCGATGGGCGGGTGCTGGAACAGCGACAGCCGACGGGTGCGGATGGCCAGGAGGTTGAACCACTGCATGACGACGAGGTTGACAAAGTAGATTGAGCTTGCCACGTTGAGCTTCTGTTGGTAGTAGTCTTGGTCGATCGACGAAGGCAAGTTGCCAAAAGAGAACCAAATATCGCTGAACTTGATGCCGTTTCGCTCCAGATACCAGTAGGACATGGCAAACGAAGACAACGTCTCCAAGACTCCCACGAGACCGTACGACTGCAACACCAGTTGCCAGTCGACGAGGCGGTCCTTTCCGGGTACGCGGGGCTTGCGCAGAAGCACGTCGGCTTCGGGCGCCTCGTACGCCATGGCGATGGCGGCGGCGGCATCAGTGAAGAGGCAGATGATGATCATGAGGAAACTGCTGAGGATCTGGGGGATGCCGAAGAGGACATTGGTCATGACGGGCCAGAACTCGGAGAAACTTCCGGCCGGGAGGAGATAGGCGACCGTCTTCTTGAGATTGTCAAACATCATGCGTCCATACCGCAGGGCCTCGACGACGCTGGAGAAGGAGTCTAGCAAAACCATGTCGGCAGCCTCGATGGCGATATCGCTTCCGGATCCCAGGGCGATGCCGACGTCGGCGGCGCGCAGGGAGGGTGCGTCGTTGACGCCGTCGCCAGTCATGCCTACGATCTCGTGACGGGACTGCAGCTCGCGAACGATGCGGAGCTTCTGCTCTGGAGTCGTTCGCGCGAAGACAATTTCCTGGTACTTGGCGAGCTGGTCCCACTGCTCTTCGTTGAGGGTCATCAACTCGGGGCCGGAAAGAACAAGGGCTTGGCGCGGAGAAGACTCGAGGTCGTCCACGATGTGCTTGACGGAGGGGTCGGCATGGTTGATGCGTTGGAGGGCAGAAATGTCGTCGATTTGCGAGCGCGGGACACTGATGATGTTGCACTCCGCTGCGATGGCCTGCGCCGTGAGAGCAAAGTCGCCGGTAACCTGTATTTTGGTCAGTCTTTTGCGTCACCTCGATATGCAACATGTTTTTTTCAAATGATTGGTAGCTTACCATAAAGATTCTTATACCCGCGCCACGAAGGGTGTTCATGACCTCGGGAATCTCGGGACGGGGAGGATCGACGATTCCAACAAGACCGACGAGCGTCAGACCTGATTTCGCCTGGTTGTTGATTTCCATCTCGTAAGAGCTGTCAGATGGGTGACCTTGGAGGGCAGATCTTGAGATGGCCTTCCGAGCGAGCAACAGCACACGACGTCCCTGAGCCGACCATTCATCCTTAATTTGCTCGATAGTAGCACGGGTCTCAGGGTCCAGCGAGGTAGTATATCCGGCAGGATTAACATAGTTGCTCAATCTTGGCATGAGCACATCGGGAGCGCCTTTGATGGTCAACAAGCTAAATTTCAGTGTCAGAAGTTGTACTTTCCTCCTTGGGGTTCTCTTTCGAGGGAAAAGGGGGAGGCTTACACGTCGCCTGGCTGGAATACCGAAGCAGTGTCGGAAGGCAGAGCAAGTGAGAGTCCGTCAGGATGCGACATGCCGAGAACCCGGATCATGTACTTGTTCTTGCTGTTAAAGGCAAGCTCGTACTTTGTCTGCCAACAACGGCGCAGCTCAGCGGTCTGCCCCAGACTCTCAGAGAAGCGCAGGATGGCCTGATCTGTAGCATCGCCGTGGATGACGCGCTCGTGAAGTGGCAAGCGCACGGTTGCGGCATCGAACTGCCCAGCGTTGCAGAGACCAGCAAGCGCACGAAGCTGCTCCAACGAGTTGTTGTTAGGGTGGTTGTGTCTGTCAACTGCGATCTTATCCCGGGCACCGTCGGCTGTCATCTTCATGGTGCCAATGGCGCATTCGGTGACAATCATCTTGTTCTGCAATGTAATTGGTTAATCTAACGCTTAACCAAAGTAGAAGTGGATAGTAGTGCAGCTTACCTGGGTCAGAGTACCCGTCTTATCAGAACAGATAATCGAGACAGATCCAAGTGTTTCGACGGTCTTGAGCGACTTGCATAGAATCTTGTTCTTCCGCATCATGTTGGCGCTGATGGTCATACTGGCCGTCAGAGCAACGGGCAGACCCTCGGGAATGAAAGCCACGGCGACAGAGACACAAGAAATGATCAAGTTGGGAACGTTGATCCAGTTGGGATATTTTTTCCTTAGCCATGTACCCCTGTAAGTGAGAAGTAGTTAGCTTTTGAACTTTGACTTTACGTCCGGCCTGACGACATACCAGACAATCAAGACAAGCACAATCATGAGGAACATGATTGAGCAGATAATGAGCACAAAGTGCAAAACTTCACGCTCCAAAGTGGTCAACCCCTTCTTGGGCTCGTTGGTCAGCTTGGCGATGCGTCCAAAAATAGTGTTGTCACCTGTGGCGACGACAACACCGGTGCAAGTGCCAGAAACACAATGTGTGCCCTGGAGACCGATGCATCGAGTCTCGAGGTAGTTGTTATCGGTCGAGTCAACAGAAGCGGGCAAAGGAACAGACTCTCCTGTTGTTTTGTACCTTGTCAGTGACTGAAATCAACAGTAGGCTGAAAGCAAAATTTTGAATCACGAGTGCCAAGTTAGATACAGAACAGAAGCAGAGAGTGGCTTACCAGTCAAGATAGACCTGTCAAACTTTGCATCCGAAGAGACCTTGAGAAAACGCACATCGGCAGGTAGCTTATTGCCCGACTTGACAATGAGGATGTCGCCAGGGACGATGTTCTCGGCCATCAGTTCAACCTGGTTGCCATCACGAATGACCATGCAATTCTCAGGGAGCATCGTCTTGATGGAATTCATGACCCGCGAGGAAGACCAGTCCTGCCACATGTTGAAGCCGGCCTGGATGAAAAAGACGGCCAGCAACACGATGGCCAACGCCAGGTTCGCTACGGCCGGCGGGCTTCCTAGGGGCTTCCATGCGATGAAGACGAGGATGGAAGCCACGAGAAGCACGGTACCGAAACCCTTGAAGAAGTATCCGAAGATGCGTTTTGTATGATTTGTCGGGGCGGGCGAGGGCGCGTTCTTGCCATAGTGTGCGGTTCGGCGCTGTATTTGGTCTGCGGAAAGGCCGTCTGCGAGGGAGGATGACTGGCGTCTGAGGATCTCGTCGACGGAAAGGGTGTGCCATTCGAGTTCCGAGAGTTCTGCAGAGGCGCAGATGGGTATCAGTGACTGTAGTTCACTATATAGTCGCCACACAATAGATCACGATGGAGGGTTCCCAGCAGTATCACCAACCTGTTGCGACATTTTTGGCTTTCTTGACGGCTTCGCTTTTTGTCTTGTACTCTTCAATCTCAAAGGAACTTTTCGAAGAGTATCGTTAGCCGAGAGAAGAAGACACCGAGGCATTTGTTTTCATGTTTTCTTCAAGTCGCATGTCCACACTTACACCGTGCGGTACTGGATGGGAAGCTCAGCGGCAGCGTCGATAGAATTGCGTCTGGACCGGACCGAGTGGATGGACATTGACGTGTTTGACCGGGCATGGTGCAAAGCCGGAGCAGCACTAGAACGATGTGCCTTCCTGCCGGCCTCCTCATCAGCATCCCAGCGGATACGATCCCCGGCCGCCTGGCTCTCATGTTTGAGTTCAGATTCGTCGTCCATTGTTGAGATGGTGTCTTTTTCGAGCAGGCAAACTTGTGTAACGGAATCTCAAGCAAAGAGTAGGGTGGGATGGGGGGGGGGGGGTTCTGGGATTGATAGGACAGCTCAGAGTAACAAGAGCAGGAAGGGGAGGCCTCACGAGGAGAGGAGAGGGAGAAAAGGGAGGGAAGTGAGAAGTGAGCGAGTCTGTGAGCAGATCTGCACTCTAATGACCTGCCAAAGATCCAGGGTCTTATATACGAAATGGACGAGGCAGGGCCACGAGACGAGAACGACGGCACAGAAGAGGGTAACCGTCTTAATCCTCATGTCTATCATGAGCCTTGGCATTTGTGTATGCAAATGTTTACGAGAGACTATCAACCACTCCCAAAAGGTACTGTGCCGTACCGCGCACCGCCATTGCGGATATTACGGCATCCGCATTATTCAATCACATGGGAAGGGCTGGGACCGGACGCTTTGCTTGACTTGGATTGACTTGGGATGGTGTCAAGCAAGAGGAACACAATATGCGCCTGTTTTGGACGAGGAGGGAGGGGAAGGGGAAAGGGCCAACACCAAGTGAGCGGCTTTTTTTCTGCGACTCCCGAGCAGTCGGATGGATGGCAGGGCGTATAGTCAAGAGGAGGAGAAGGAGGGAGAAGTGGATGGGGGATGGGGGTGCAAGTTCACAGTCGTGTCGCCAGCTCAGGCAAGGCAGACAATACCAGCAAGGCAAGGCATGGGCGACGACGTGAAGCGTGGTGAGCAATGACAAACAGGAACAAGGCCCCGAGGCCAAGACCGTAAAGGCAACATCAGCAGCTAATAGACACCCCGACGTCGAGCAGGCCGACGGGGCGACGTGCGAAGAAGGATGGAGGCCGGTCGGGCGTTGTATCTACGGCGCCAGGAGGCGGTGAAATGGCACTGGGAATCCAACGTGCCGAGCGTACTGTGGCCGACAGCTCTCAGGAATCTCATGCCTCATGCGCAAGACTTGCTCCCGGCGCGGCTAAGCCAGGCCGGGCTGTTTTGAAATGAGCAGGGCAAGCAAAGTCCAAATCGAGAGCGAAAGGCGTGTCACAGAAACAACGTTGGCGTGCGGCCGCACCAAGGGGGGGAGGAGGAGGCTCG